GCATTCGCGTTCCACTAGAATCGTAGTCGCGTAATTAATGCGTATGCGACGTATGTGAATACAATGACTTGCAGTGGCCAGCCGATGTACAAATCACAGCTTTTATCCTCCCAGACCAGTTTTGCCCCAGTTAAACGATCCTTGAGGGAAGGAAGGCTTGCCTAGGTCGATCCGGGATTCAAACCCCACTACTGCTGCACTTAATGATGAAAACGGAATAAACGTGACAGCCTTTCAAGAGTCCATGACCGAAAACTTCGTACCAAGCAACCTACGTTCAACGCAGTGATCAAGCAAAGAAATAACTCCAAAATGCTTGATCTTCTTCGATTAATGGCAAGTAAATTCAGCTGATGGAAGGAAAGGAAAGCGCAATAACAGGAAATGGTACGCGAAAGAGCTGACTTTATGGAAGGGATTCAAGACTAGAAGCGGAGCGAAAAGAGGATCGAGTAATCCTCCAGAGCCCGACAATCAGGAACAAGAAGACGTACAGCCGAGAAATCCCCCTACCCTGAAATTTCGGCACTGGCCATGAGACAGCGCAAAGTCAAACACGAAATACACAAAGTGCGACAGGCCGAATTGAGCGTAAGATCAAAGATTCATTGGAAAAATCAACTTGATCGCTGAGAACATCTGAGCGAGGTGAAATCCGTCTCAGACTGAAACGTTACTCTCGTTGCGTTTTTTGTGAAGCAACGGAGGACTACCACTCTAACTCGAGTCACGTAGTTGGTCTGGTCGAGCACAGCAGATACCTCGTAGGAAAAGGAAGACTATGTTCTATATTTTTTGCCTGGTATATTGCACTGCAATAAATTTTGAAAGAATCGCTTTACTGAATGATATCGTTGTCGCGAGACTAAGCATAATTCCGCACTCTACGGACTGCCGCAGACTACACCTTACGTTATCGAACAAATTTCGATTCGAGTAATGGCCTCGCAAAAGATGAAGCAAGATTTCGAAAATATCTCCATCACTCACTCAGCTGAGGCAGCTTTTTCTGCAGGAGTACTGCTACCGCGATTTTTCTGAATTCAATTCACAAAAATAACAAAAGTTCATCAAGAAAACATCCTTTTCAGGGGCTGTAAAAAACAGCACCATTTTGCTATGTTCAATCGTCTACATTTTTCATAACATACAGTTTCTCATAATATTGAGCTTATTGACTTATTTTTATATTTGATGTATTTTTATATTTGATGCTGATATGAGTGTGTTGTCGCTCAACATTCGTCATCGTGTTGTCGTACAAATACCCCACTGGTCGTCTTGGAAGCGTCTTCATGTTTCGACGCTTTTTTGCCGTTTCCACTTGGTTTAGCGCTGCACCTGACTATATATCATTACTTGTACATTTAATAGAACCATTTCGAAATTCGCTTATATCCAGCATCAAAAGGTAAAATATTGGTGCACTCGCTGGTTGAGTTGTCTACCATTTCTGTGTGGCACAGGGAATTATATACATACGTACATATACAGCTTACATTCCTAGACGCATCTATACCGAGAAAGTTGGATCTCCGGATATTCGGTCGCAATCTACGCGAATTCCCTGAATACTGGGATCGCTTCTCCACTTCAGTCCATGATAGATCACAAAAAGACCACTACAAAATTTTCTCTCCTCAAGTCTAAACAACGAGGTCAGAATCGGCAGCAGAATGTAGCATCCATGCAGGATAATGCCCCGAATCACGTCAGCCGGAGCACCGTCCGTCAGCGTCAGGCCGGTTTGGTCGGCTCCAATTCGACCTTTTGCCCTGGCCGGCCAACAGCCCTGAATTGAATTTAATGAAAAACGTATGGGATTCATGATATGGAGATCTATGAAGGAAACAAGCAAATGGAGGTATCAGTGAGCTGAAGAAAGCGCCAACGGTAGGGGCACCAAGTTGATCATAAACACATTGATAGCCTTTAGTTTAGCTTAGACAATCGTATTTTTGAGATAATTTGAAGGAATGGGGCTCAAATAATTGTTAATCATGCAACGTCATCTTTTTGTCGTCATTTAGCTGCTCTGCTGAATAAATTGATCTGGTAAGTGACTGTGTCACCTGACAACATAGGCAAAGTGACCATTTCCGAAAAAAGAAGGGGAAATTGTTCACGTAATTGAATGGAGCTCGTTGTTGCCCTAAAAATTACGGCCCAAGCAGGGCACTATTTCCATATTAGACCTTTTCCTAAAGTGCCCGTGTTTTAAGAAAGTTCATGTGTGGATGTACAACATCTCTGTGGACGCAGTGTAGTAGACTGTTTGTGAACCCAAAGCAGTATCACAGGTTCGTCCAAGCATTGGGTTGGTGTAGAACTTATGCCCTACCACAATTTCCTTCTACTACCACGGCTGTATTATTAAAGTTGTGGTGGATAATATGACTGTGTCGGTGTATAACGATCATATACCTAGTCATAAAATAATTGCGCCATGTGTTGTGAGTCATTGTAGCAGGGTGCACTCTTCGAGATCGGACGCCTGGCAGATTTCAGCTCCAGCGGGCTACGCCCCTGATTGAGATCTAAGCCTTTTCAACAGGGGATGTTGAACACTTGAAGCTCAGTTACTGAAACCAAGTGGGGTAGACTGGAAAAGAAGAACAAGCTGGGCCCATATATACCGCGCCACCTGAAGCCTGTCAATCGTGGTTATCGCGTGTAAGCGTGCTCTACTTACTCTTTCTCCACTAACAATGAGCTTTTTCACAAGAAACATCGAAATACAGTAGCGCACAAAAGTCTTCGGTGAAACGGTTCTTCAGTCGTTTTTTTTCAGTCGTAACTCCTTTCCTACAGGACCTAATCATGTGATATTCCTATATTTGGAGCGTGGGTGTATTGTGAATATTTACCACCGTTAACCTGCAATTTGATCATGTTCCAGGTATTCTAAACAGCATGAACATAAAATCGACTGAAAATGCAGATGATGGTCCTTCTAGGATCTCTTCCCTTTTTGTCATGTCTGAAGTGGACGAGCGGTAATGCCGAGCACAACAGATCAGAAAAACGCACATAAGATGTGAATAAGTGCAGACGTCAACAACTTTGGTTTTAGCAAAACCTGCTACCGCAACAAACACCCTCCTCTATCTATGGATATTGAAGCTTCGCAGTCAAATAGTGTTGGGTAGGGTGAAATATGCTCTAATTAAAAATATCCGAATTTCGCGCGAATTGGTCTACTAAAAAAAAANAAAAAAAAGTTGTGAACGAAAAAGCGTCAAAGCATTTCACCGAAGACTTTTGAACGCTACTGTAGATCCTGAAGCTGTTCACCATATAGAGATGATGCAGTAAATCTTATAGGATATATACACTACTACTGCACTGACAAATGTGCGATAAGAAAGGTACTGCCCGTGCCAATCTCTGTATCCAACGCTGTGGTTTTGAAACGAATCGACGATCAGCGAAAACGAATTGCCCAAAAAGTATAAACCCGCATACCAATGCCACAGCGCACGTTGTAAGAAAGATGAACTTGGAGCTCGAGCAATACTGTTAGAATTCCCTAATCTCATATAACCACATATCACTCCTTGCGACAGCTGGGTATCCTTCACTCTAACGTGTCACATAGAGGAAAAAAAAGCCTCAATAGTCGTTCTCAAGTCAAAATCGAGTTTACGTCGTACTCTGCCTCATGCCAACCTGCATTTTGGAGAGGCGACAACTATCACCTGAACGTTGGCAAGAATTAGCCTACAACGGTTTTAGACACATTAAATCTCGTGTGTTTCCGCTAATTGATAGTGTTCGTTATCGAAAGTGGAAGAGAACCCCACCGCAAACAAGTACTTCAGGAGTAAATAGGAGGGTTTCAAAGCAAAATCCAGATGCTTGTAAACTGCACAAACCCTAACTATTTCACGTGCATGTTGATAACCTTCCAACTCTTCTGCGAGGATGCAGTTATGACCACGTTACAGCCACTCTTGTATTACATCTGGCTGGAGGATCCAAAGCTTGTGAAGGTTCTGTTCTATGAAATGGGAAGCATGCCGTGCTCAAAATCGTCGTTCCATCATTTTTTGTAAATCTTGTTGAGACTTTGTGATCGAAATATCCTACCCTAAATAACGGAAATCCTGAATTTTCGTTTTTCATGGTTCCAATTCCTTTTCTAGTCGTAAGCTTTAGGGAGGTCAGGGCTAGTAAAACATCACTGCTCGATGACCAGAAAGAATAAAGGATTTGTATAAGAGCAAATTTTAGGGTTATAAGGGATTTAACAAAGGAAGAAGGAATTCTACTCCCGGCTCCTTTTACCCGTAAATGTTATTGGTGAACTCGATAGGGTCTTCTCGGAGGCGTCTATGACAATCTAATCATTCACTGTGTGCCCACTTTTAAGGCAGAGGAATGACGTGGTATTCGAGCTCAAGAGGATATTTTGGATGAGAAGCTAAAGTAGCCAGCTACACGAGGGGGAAGGAGATATTCATCCACTCGTTCAAAACCCTTGGCAGTTTTTTTGACGTAGAACCGTCTCTGAACTCTTCTTACACTGGTTTTCGGAATGTGCGCCCTCATACGACGCATGTTTGCACTCTCAAAAAATCCACTCGAAGGAGCTGAGATTGAGGGAACTGACGGCAAGCGAGAGATAAGCAAGGAACCGCTAACACCAACAAATGCGCAGCTATCACATCAGCTCAAAAGCTAGGCAACTTTATTCGCCTTCACTCAAAAAATTTGTGAAAGTTCACATTTAAGACAGTAACTCTGAGAAAACCAAAGGTGTATAGTTAGTGGACGTTCGATCGATTGATCGGTCGTCGCTCGTCGGATTCGCCAATGTTGTGAAGCACTTCTGGTCGGTAGGGCGGTGTCGTAACGACGGATGTACTGTCGTAGTGTTGAGAATAAAAAAATCATGGACAAGGAATACAATTCAATTGAATATGAGACATAATGTGAAACCTAAGCGCTGACAGGTACCCTAATAAGACAATGTGAGCAGTGAATTTGCGCTGACAGACTCAATTCACTCGCTGCTTCTGTTGTTGGGTTCGCATGCGGACGAGACTGTTCTCAGCGACTTCGGCACGTTCTTCAGCATTTTCAAGAGCCAGCTGGATTTGGCGGAACTTGGACAGATTCTGTGTAGCCACCTCCTCCTGAAAAAAAAGTCGTTATACAGAGAGATATCGCAACATCAAGTATCGCTGCATTTGTCAACATTAGCGCGCAAGTTTTTCTTATTAGCTTCTTATCACGTCATCTAAGTAAAATTTGATTAAATCAAAAACAAACGCTCTCATAGTACGGGTTCTGGGAGCTAGAACTTCCAGAAACAGCCATTCAGGCTTATCTCCTTTAATACCTTCAACAAAGAATAAAACTTTCGGCGTTGGTCAATACCGTCTTAGGGATGAGCCCCACATGAGCCCCGCAATGGCGTAATGAGTGCTTGTGTGACCCATAAAGTATTTGGTAGCCAGCCGATGTACAAGTCTGTACTTTTATCCACCCAGACAGGTCCTGTACAATTTAAGCGATCCCGAAGGGATGGAAGGTTTGGTTGGCGTAGGCGGATAAGAATCTAGGCCTCGATTCCGTAACCGTACCGTGTGAGATAGTGCGTCACGTGGCACGATATCACCTCTGCCTTGCGTTAAGTAATGTTTTTCAAATTTGAGACACAGTCCTGAACTCGAGGAAACTTTTTGACACTCATAAATTTCGCTTTGAAGCGAATACAGTTTGACCCTATCAAAGCCAGCTTCTCTCTAAAATCTGAGGGGGCGGAATGCCGTTAAGTTCCGCGCTTCGTCTAAAAAGATTGATTACGAAAAACTCTTGAAAAACCCGTTTTTACTAACCGCTTCCTCGATTTGTCTCTTCTGCACACGGATCTTTTGCTGCAGTTTCTCTACCATCTCTTGTAGTCGATCAAACATCTTCTTGTCTTCCTCCACCTGTAATTCTTTTCATTGTTGTATAGTTGCTGTAGGAGACTCAGCTCATTTGAAACCAGCATGGTTCCTCCATGAGAGGTAACTAGAGGTATTTGAAATAGCTTATTCAGAGGAGTGATTAGACGTAGTAAAGAGTAGCGAATTAGCGAGAAAGATATAATGGGTGAAGGATAAAGTTTTTGGCGTTGAGGGATGGTCTGCGCACTCAACTTCCATTCAGAATCGTAGTGCGTAATGAGTGCGTATGTGGCCTATACAATGACTTGCGGTGCACAGCCGATGTACAAAACAATACTTTTGTTCTCCCAGACGAGTCTGGTACCAATTAACCGACCCCGGAGGAAAAGAGGGCTTTGTTGGCCCAAGCGTATATCGATCTGGGATTCGAACCTGGAACTAAACTGAAGAAGAGATATTCTCGTTAATTTTTAGTATTCAACGGTTATGGGGCGCAGCTTGCGAATGAAATAGCTTCGAAGTTTTGCTTTTGTAAGAAATTTATAGTTCCTGGGTAGGCCACTAGGGTCATTGCTGGGCTGAAAGCTGCTGCTCTGCACAACTAGTTGTTATATGGTGGGAAAACATATCGTGAAGATAGAAGATGGGATTCACCTGGAACTGAAGTTCGCGAGAGCGTCGTTCCTGTTTAGCCAAGCCTTTGATGGCATCTTGATGACGGCGTGTTTCTGCATGGTACTGAGCGGTGACTTGACGTACTTTCTCTTCGACCTTGGACAACGCTTTTTGTCCAACTGAAATTCATTGCATTAGTAATGGGCTGGGAACGATTCTGTGTTCTCACAGTACATTGAAGCATAGCCCTCTCGGCGTCTTCGATCTTGGCTTGTAGTTCCTTTGCAGTAAGTTCAAGCCCTTTTCGTTGTCTATCCACATGAGCGGCATGTTCCTGCTCTTGTCGAACCTCTTCAGCTAGGCGGTCAGCGTCGGCGGCAGCCTAAAAAGTAGCTGTGCAACTGCATTACTCATACTATTGTAATCGTTCGTACTTTGCGCGATCGTTCCTCGGAAGCCTTGAGCTCGTTGAGACATTCATCGAGTTCGTTCTGAAAACATG